ACCTTAAACCTAGTACGAGTAAACAATCACTCATCTGCTACATATCACATCATGTCAACAGGTCACAACATGAAATGGCACTATTTCGAAATTTTGGCAAGAGGATGGTCAGATACCCAATTTGCAAGATAAAAGAAATTCTGCTGTTAGTTAAAAGAACCAATTCCCTAAGTGAGAATGTCAGCAGTGAAAAACTTTACCTTTTTTAGTTTGCATGCTTTATTTAAATGCAAATTTTCGTACTGTATGTCATCTAGTATTGTTTCTTTAATTAGTTACTTTTTCACTTCTTTCCAGAAATGTGTTAAACTTATATTTCCTCATGTTTAGCACTGTAGTTTGCTTTTTGTTTCTTCTGAAGCGAAATGTCTTTGCCTTGAAGCTGCAGTATAAGGAGACCCCCCTCTCCCCCTCGACTCACCAACCACTCCCCCCCCCACCCCACACCCCCAACGCGTCCATTCCCACACCCCACACCTTTCCCAACCTACACCTCCTGCTCTCTTCTTTCTGTCTACGTTAAAGAAGTATTCAACACCAACAAAAGTCACCAGACAATAGCACCCCAACAAAGCCATCCCCCCCCCCCCCCCCCACACACACACACATACACACACTTCAATATTTAGCACGTACCTAACTCCTTCAATTGCCTGATCTTGGCTTTTTTGGTATTAAGAACAGTAGCAAACTGAGGACAAAAAGACAATAATATATACTCCACTATGCACCAGATAATTGTCAGTTTCATAACCGAAAATAACAAAATGATTTGCAGTCAATTTTTTCACAAGGGATTTTGTTATCAGCTAACTTTCCGATTGACTTTTTCCAGACAACACACTTATAGAAATACAATGTAAGAAGCATGCATGGTCAACTACACTTCTGGGCCCAGCTGTTCAAAGACTGGGTTAAATTTTAATCCGGGTTTCTTTTTGTCTTTTTCAAAGGCATTTCCTGGCACAATTTTGTCTATTGTAATTCTTTGTAGAGCATCGGATGAACAAATTGTAGACAAAAAGAATTTGAACTGAATTTGATTTGTATTAAAGAGTTTCATGACTGAACTTCAAATTTTGTACCAACCCTGTATTATCTTAATCCAGCTTTGAACAGCCCTTTGGCCCTGAAGCTTTTGTCTCATTAATCTACAGAGGATTGCTAGGTGAGTCTTAGCCCTAAGAAAACAGCCGACATTCCGCGATACCACAACTGGTTTCCCTACTGAATGATGTCTGAGAAATGAACAAAGAAATTCTGATAAGTTAATAACACATCAATACCGGGCCAACTGAGATCTGGGTAGTGTTTCTAATTGGTTGAGCCACAAAGGAACCTTGGGGGTATTAAACCAGTGAAGACATAATGAAATGTTGGCTGTTTTCTCAGGTTGTCTGCTTGACTTGTGGGCACAATGAATTTCAGTGACTCATAAAGTATGAAAAACCTGACCTTTCCAAAAAGATCTAACTCCATTTCCTCTTTAGCTGTAACAGACTTTTCCAGAAGCTGAACAATAAAAAAGAACAAACCAATAGAAAAAACGTTAATACCATCAATACTTATCCTCTGACTAATGAATATACTAAACATTCTTTTTGATATCCCTGGAGGATGTTGAAAGAACTTGAAAAAATTTGCACATTAGAGAGTGGCATGATTTACAACTTTTCATGTGTTTTCCTTGGATAACACCCAAATGTGTTGTGGTAGTAGTTTACTAATAAAAAATATTTTGCGCATATTGCTTCAATTTATAATATAAGTTTAGATGGGCATGAATTTTTTCATGCAGTTCTCTTAATTAATCAGTGAAATTAAAAGCTATTGTATCTAGAATATACATGTAAATATAAATTGAACGATAAATGTAACAATAAAAATAATACCAATGATAACCAGCAATACAGCTTTATAAACTTTTCAGTGTCAATGCAAACAATGATCTGTTTACAGCTGATGTATTATTAGTTTTGTCTAAATGTAGTTTAGTAACTCAAAAGATAATACTATTTGTACATTACATGCAAAAATCCTCCAAAAGTTGGTTGGATGCCCCAGCCTTATTGTTGGACTTCAAAATTTGAAAGTTCTCATTTCTTATCAGTAATAGAATATTTAGAATTACCACTACATGTATAAAAAGGCTGTGATCAACAAACCCTCAAAGCATCTTCCCTCTCTGAAGAAAGCCTTTCATTATCTGACTTCAATGATGACATTTCTTGCTAAGAAGAGAAATTAAAAACAAACAACCACAAAGAACACATTAATTTGAATGTCTTTAAATATGGTGTGCATGTACCTGACTTACATAGTACTGTATCCTTTCGAAAATGACGAGAAAAACAATAACACTAGCCTGTTCACAGACCCTCTATTTTCTCTTTTGAGATCTTGAGCCCGCATAGGAAAATAAAAACAGTGAGGGATGTATTCACTGCAATCTTGCGCTCGCTCTGGACACTCAATTTGCTCTAGGCTGTTGATTTGCCCAAAAAGAAAAAAAATTATGGGCAGACTACAATTACATGCAACAATAATTAAACACCTACTATACACTTTAGCTGCATATTGTCGCTCTACCTTGTACTTAAATGAGAAGCAAATTACATAGAAATAGATATGAGGTGGAAGAAAAAATTAATGTGCTCATTTGTACAGAGCTTTTTTTTCTTTTTTTGTTTGTTTGTTTGTTTTTTCTGCATGCAACAACTGCAGTTGGCTATATCACACTTCATTTTGCCTGAAACTGTACCATAACTCCCCCAACACAGAGCATTTAAGACATCATTCAGTAACAAGGACATTCTAGCCCTAATCAAACAATAATGGTCACCATGATGTCACCTTAAAACATTTTACCTTTAGTTTTGCCATTTGATCCACTGCTAGGTCAAAAATGTTTTTCACTACAACAGCACTATCATCAACTTTGGACAATTTCAGTGATCCCAGCTGAAACTAAAAATTGAACATGTAGAAATGAAAATTAATATTTCATATCTTATAAAAGCTTGCAAAAATGTGAATTACATATGAAACAAATTTTGTGGCAACTGATCAATTCCTTGGGAGTCTCTGAAGTCAAACATTACACCCAACTTATAAAAACTAGCATTCCCTCATGCATGAAAGGCACAAGTTTTGAGGTTTTGATGAGATGAGATTTACAATGTTCATCGTGAACTTAGTTCTGAAAAAAAAAGCTCTCTTGGTATTCTTTACCTTAATGCCATCTCCAATATGCTTCTTCCAAGAAAACTGTTGAGGTAAACAAGACTACCTGTCAATAAGTGTTAACCCTTTAAGTCCAAAGAATGATCAACATCAGTTTTCTCCTGATATATCAATAGATAATCAAGAGAGTAGGTTAGGAGAATTAATAAAATGATCAGCTAAGTGAAAATCCTAAAAACAAATTCTCTCCACTGGTTCTTCAAGGAAATGTATGGAGATCAGTAGGAAGAATCATATGGTGCTAGGAATTAGGGTCACCAATATTACCTTACTGTAAGCAAAAAAATGAGAATACATGCACTGTTCTGCATTCCATTATCTCCCAACCTGTAAATGATTTCCATGAATCTTAGCATGATAAACAAAATTATCTTGTCCTGTTGACTGTCCGGTTAAAGCTCTTCTTGTCTGGGCAGCAAATTCAGCTATACTCATGTCTGCAGTCTGAGCCATTGATTCCACAGTTCCTGCATCAACTTTAAGTAGAGTTGTCCATGTAGATAATTATCAAATACATTTAAGTTAAGAAGGAGATCAAAGGTGGCCTATGAACAATATACATGTTGCGTTTAATTGACAAATGGTAATATAAATATGTAGACACACCCAAGACCCTGGTAATGTCTCTAAGGAACATCCAAAAACAAGAATATGAGAGACACATCACAAACACATACACAGCCTTGAGACTGGATCAAAATTTTCTGAGACTCCCCACTGAGAGAGCAAGGCCCTACCAGTTGAGCTATCATTAAAACTACATGTGTACAACTGGGAGCTGGTCATGTTATTGTAGCTGGTTCAATAAAACTGTGAAAGGATAGAGATGAAATGATGGACATATATGTGAAAATTGTACATTAAAAACAGTAGAATGAAGGATTAAATGTGCAGAGGGTCATTGCATTCATAGATGCAGCTTTTGCAGATAGTGATAATGACGACAAATAATGTCATAAAATAATGCCATGATAATGATAATGATACAGAACAAGGTTTCAACCTTGAATATTTGCTTGGTGAGACTGGCAGGTTATATTGCAAGCCTACTTGCTCTTGCAACCAACTAAGTCTACCGGGGGGGGAACTCCCATATGAAAGGGGCGGGGATGCTCGTTGTCTCTTTAGGGTTGCACGTGAAGAAATATACAAAAATTATATACTTTCAATTCGTTTTATTTACTCGATTCATGCAATTTAAGTTTACAACTGTCTCTTTTAGGGTAAAAAAAAAGAGGTTGGGTCACGCTCGGACTGACGTTTAGGGTTTTCATTCAAATTTCCAAAGAGCTTCCCCGCCCATTTCATATGGAGTCCCCTCGAGAGTACATTGTAGTACATTAAGGTAAACGCTATTTTCAGTGAACTCAAGTAGCTGCTAACCCAAAAGAATGCTGCTGACATCGCTAACATTGCTAAGAAATTTCTACAAGGCACAGTAATAACCATACCTGTTTCGCGCCAGACTTGTTCACCGTTGCAGACTGTCAGATCGAACCCATTTTTGCCCCCGTCAAATGAATTCGTGAGAAGATAATAATTTTGATCTCCAGCTTCTATTCTTGTAAAGGCCTGATGCATTGTAAGGTTGTTTAGAGATATATAGAATCGAATGAATGGAACCGAATGAATGCTTCGCTTGTGACGATAAAAAGTGACAGGCGACAACAATTTCAGTAGAACCTGGGCTCTAGTTTTTTCCGACAACCGGTCACAAAAAAGGGTCAAATATGTTTTTTTTTATCTATTTATTTTTTCTAAAGTTCCAGAAACATTCTACAACTTATTCTTATAAAAAGAAAACAAGAAAAAGCAGATTTCTGAAAAAGGAAAAAGCGGTGACAAGGTTCACTAGCATTTATTTCCCGCGCCTTTCACGCCAACTGACGTCTGTCACGCAATTTTTTGCTTATCGCTCATGAATATCTCAACAGTTTTAGACAATTCAGCCATTTATTTGACTTCGTCGCCGAAGTATCGTCCTTCTGTTAACGAAGTTTACACATTTATTGTTTCCAAAACGGTGTGAAGAGATGGCCAATCTCTTTGCCTTCGCTCTTGCCGAAAACAGACTGGTTTATCAGCCAGGTGAAACAATTTCGGGAAGCTTGCTTCTCAACACAGACAAGGAGCTAAATTTGAGAAGTATTCGGGTTGAACTACAAGGAACAGGACACGTACGCATTCGTTCCGGTAAAGTCACCTACGAGAGGAGAGAGCCGTATCTGGGTTTTCAGATAGTCGTACTTGGAAGAGGTGAGAATTTAACACGTAAACTTTTGTTTCTGACAGTGCGATTCTTTCGAAGGGAATGTTCAGAAAGGAAAATAATTTGGCACAGAGGAGAACTCGCCTTGTGTCCAACTCGTCTATTAAATAAGCGTGGTTTCAAATCACATGATAGAAAACTTATTAGCATACACAAGCTTTCGATCCATCACGGAATCTTTTTTAAGTAGTATAGAGTATTCTACACTGGGATTTGAAACCTCGTTTACTTTAAATATAATGATCATCCAAGTGACTCGTTCTTCGCAACAGTGTAAGAACACCTCGACCATATCCTTTACGACCCAAACTTCAAAAACATGAAAAGTCATTTCATTATTTTAAAGACCTCGATAATTCGAGCAGCGATAAGTATGTAAAGCACTTTCCCAAGATTCTTTTCACACACGAAAACGCCAGAAAATATTGCGTAAAACAATAACAACAACCTAACACTTTGGCATTAAAATTCATATTTATATAGGTCGAATGTCATTCCCTAAATCCAATCGCATAAAACTTTCTTTCCATATAAAGTTGTATCGGCCTAGAAATCGTGACCCAATTTCTCGATCTATTCCTTCGCAATCCAGACCAGAGCATTCAAACATTTCCCATATTTCGGGGCACGCAAAAAATTAAAATCCTCACTGTCACTTTTGTCACTGTATTAACCTACGGTCTCTCCACGGGGTGTTGCACTTCCCGTTTCTGCTCTGTAATTGCCCCCGCAGGGATTTTGCCCAGAAGGCGAAATCCGGAGGAGGCACTCTAGTAGCTCGCTGATAACATCTTCCCCCCCCTCCCCCTCCACCTCCTCCTCTAACCTCCCTATAATTTCCCATAAATCTCTCTGTATCATAAAACATAAGCGCACGCGGTCCAAGTTGTTTTCCTTGCTCGGTTAATTTTCAGATTTATTTCTGGTCGCCGAAGACATCATTAAGCCTTATGAAGGAACAAATCTCACGATTGACAAAGTCTGCCGTCGTCCAATATGTTAGCATATTTCGTCTCATTTTGGCTCAGCGGGTGAAACACTGATCTCGGGCTTGAGCCCGAAGGGCATCATATTGTGAGCTTTGATGTGGGCGGTGACGAGTCTCTGGCCTCAAAAGGTAGTTTTTAGGAGTCAAATCTATTTGGCAAGAGCAAAATTGATGCTGATTTCTGATCAGGTCGGAGACTTTTGTGTCCCTTTCAAAACAGCTTGTCTACATCCACGGGGATCTTGAATATATCGACTGTGTCAGCAAAGTTTACATGTGATGATTTATGAGGAGAGTAATTTGACGTTATTTTTCTCGTATTAAGTATGGAAATTGTGCCTGATTAGCCGGCTAATCTTCATCCTTTTCAGGTCCTCAGAGCGGTAACGATGTAAGACTTTTACCCGGCAATTACGCTTTTCCATTCCAATTTCCCCTGCCTCCACACAGTTTGCCAACATCGTTTGAGGGTCCATACGGTAGTGTCAGATACTGGCTTCAGGCAGTAGTGGATCGACCCTGGAGAACAAATCTCCAGATTACCAGCCCACTGTGTATTGTGGAGCGTGTGCAGATTAGAGACCCTGCGTTAATGGTAAGTCTAAGAAATCACAATTTTGGAAAGTGGATAAGCTGCTTAAATTTGTGACCGTCATTTCGGAATTTTATATCCCGAATAGAGTAACGCGGAGCTAAACATAACCACACAAAACTTGATTGGATCAAATGAACAAACACTGAAAACTAATAAAAAATACAACAACGAAAGAAGACAAGGAATTTAGAGGTGTAGGATTCTGGGGAGACTGCTTGATGTTACGTTACAATGAGGGATTGGGTCGAGACGAGAAAAGACGTGTTTAATTGGTTAATTAAATTCCCTTGACAGCTTCGTTTTCTCCAGACAGAACAAGAGAGTTAGCAGTCTCTTTTCTTCTCGGCCTTACACCCTCGTTTATCGCGCCTGGCCGCTCGCGTGCTTCGGTTTTTCGTGTGCAGTAACTTTGCAAAGAAAAATAAGAGACTGTTCGCAGTCTAGATTTTGGTTGAAGGGACAAAAGCGGGCACAAATTGGGCTTTTCCGAACATCACTATGAATGCTCTGCAATGGTGGATCTGGGAAAGAGTCCGGTGATTTCGTGGGCCACCCCCACCCCCACCCTACGTTCCAAATGCATCCGTATACCAAAAGGATTTTTAGGGATGTACTATGTGCTTTAGAACAGGGCACCCAACGAACGAATATTTCCAAATACTCCGGAACCAAAGTGTATCAAATGGTTGTCCATGTCCTCGAACTTTCGACCGACCTATAAGGGTAGCTATTAGTTTCGGATGAGACGAAAAATTCACCTGAAACTTTCGAGACGACCAAAGTTCGCCTAAGACATAGCTTTTTGGCAGCTTCAAATTAACCAACGTTGTTCTTTTTTTTTTTTTAAATTACCAAGTGCTGCTTCAGCAATATTTACTGAGCCATCTATTGTTCGATCTTATCCTCATGACAGTAGATACCTTCTTAAGTTGCTATGATCATAATAAGTAATGCGAAAGCGTAGATCGCGGTATATCGTGGATGCTAGCCTCCCACGTAGACGCCCGACGTTCTTATGGGGTCGTCACGCGTTCCTGCCCCACGAACGTTTGTTGGGGAGGATTACGTGACGAGACAAAAGAGCCTCTGCATGTGAGGCTACCTGGGTGCTAGGGTGGGGAGCGTGGACGAATTTTTTCATCCAAATTATTTCGAGAACGGACATTAATAGTCTGGAGCCAGGACAATGGCGGGAGAGTGATTATTGGATAAACTGTGAATCGATTTTTTGTCTCATGGCGTATCAATGTAAATGAGAGCAGGGTCTTATGTACTCATTAAGAAACCTAACTGGTGACTGATGTTTCATCTATTTTTCGTTCCAGGAACCATGTGTGAAAAATGACGACCGAATGCTTGGCTGGGTTTGCTGCCCCTCTGGCCAGCTGTATGCAACAGCTCGTATTGACCGTAGTGCTTATTGTCCGGGCCAAGAGGTCAGGATAACTGGTCATGTCAGCAACCAAAGCGGCAAACAAGTTATTGGTACTGAAGTGCAGCTTATACAAAAAGCTTTGTATAAGGCGCCTCACGGTAAGTGCGTAAGGGAGGATATGAGGAAGCAATAGTCAGAAAAAGACATTGTCGGATTATACAATGTTTATTTTATGTATATTCTGGCATTCTGATCTCGATGGATAGAGTCAGAGGCACTGATCTCTATTGCGTAGCAAAGAAAAATCTCTCAGTACAATATTAATTTGATGCCATTAGTAACAAGTTGTTGTAGCTTCCGATAACCGCCACTCACGATGGCGTTTAAACTTGATGATGGAGATGATATTTCAAAACAGCGGCTTCTTTAAACCACCCGATTTGAATGGGTCCTGCACAAACAGAGTTGGATTTAGGGGAGGGGCCCCCACGTTACTTTTAGGCCAAACTGAAACCCGCACGTCCAAAAATATTAATAGTGAGCTTAAGCAAAGACGTTTTTGAGCGACGCACGTCAACTGGAAGTGGGTTTTTTTTCATTTTGGACGGTGGTTTTGCCCAAATTTTTGGGCAAATCGTCTCTATAGTAGTAAGGACACTTAGAAATACAAGTTTGGGAGCGTCAAGGTGCTTTAAAATGAAAAAGACCTCGCCTCCGGTTAACGTGAGTCACTCAAAAACGCCTTTGCTTATTTCAGAAGGCGCTTAGATTAGATTAGAATAATTAAAGTTTTTAACTAGCAAATAACATTTACCACATTAATATTTTTAGTATTTTATGTCAATTTCCAATTTTTTTGTTTATTTGTTTTTTTTTATTATTTCTTTTATTTACCTACTATTTCTTTCTTTATTTGTTTATTATAATGTTATCAATGTATTTATTCATTAGTTTATTTTTTTTGTCATACAGTGATGGGCCTCCCCCTGTGGAGGACCTAAAATTTTGGGCGATCCCGCGCCTATTTGAAAGATTGTTTTTGATTAGCTGGGAAAACAATAGGGATTGTCACATAACAATGCCCCTATCTCTGAAATCAGTGGAACTGTAGATTAAAGGGGACCAGTGAAATAAGAGGTTTAGAAGGGTGCAGGTCTAATTTTATTTAGATGTAGATGGAGATCAGCCATCCTTGGAGACCCAGGGGCAGTCAGACGGGTCGAGGATGTGGATAAGCAGGCCCCCAATCAGCCACTTATACTTGAAGATCTGAATCTGCCACTCAGGCCAAAATTTTGTATGAGCTGAATGTAAGCTTTATCTGGACTAACTGCATTAACTTTGTTTGTTTTAGATACCACGCGCACAGTTACAGAGAAGATTTACGTTTTAACAAACGAACAGGGATTTGCCCCCGGGGAGGACGGCGATGTTCACTTTGATGCTTTTTCCGTTCCTTCCGTTCAGCCAACAACGGAGGGGTTCGGCTGTATTGACATATCTTACAGAATAAGGGTACGTGAAACCAAAGCAATTACATAAAAGAAAAATTCAGCTGACTTTTTCAGAAGGTTTAGGAAGACTGAGCACTAGCTTAATTTTGCTTAGACTACGAGCAGTCTCTCTTTTTCTTCAGATTTAGTGAGAGCAATGCACGCGCGCGGGAGTGGAGAAGCCGCGAGACGCGCGAAACGAGGGTGGCAGCCGGAGAAGCCTCTCGCCGTCTCGCGCCATCAGTTACGTGCGTGGCCATTTGCGTGTCTCGCGTTTTGCTCGAAGGACTACAGAAAAAAGAGAGACTGCTCGTAGTCTAGTTTTGCTCAGAATTCTGGTATCGTTTGGGCTACAACAACAAGCAATGATTGGTTAATGGTTGGTTTTGGGTACCCTGGAATTATGGGATTATTTTCTGAACAACATGTAGTGTCGCGTCGGTGAAGCTCATTCCTCTGAAATGAACTTGCAGTGAGAAGTTTGTCAAACTTTACCGATTGGTTGCCTATGTTATGGGAACTAAAACTTGGAAATAATATTGGTGGGTTTCTATACTCCTTTAGGAGCAGCAGCTACTTGTATATAGACAATAATTCCTTAAAATAACAATATGATTATATTTGATTTTTTTTTTCTGCGTGCACTGAGATTAGTCTATATTTATTTTAGAGAAAGAAAGTTGCTCATCTTAAAAGAAAAGAAATAAATTATAGGTCACCATACTCGTTTTCAAGGAAGAAAATGAACAGAGTAGTTGAATAAAATCAAAGCGTTGTTTGATTATATTTGGACATCCTTGACCAATCAGGTCCTAACACTGGTACTCAAACGATCCTAATTGTCGTTCCTTTAAGAGCCTGTACCCTGCATTCTCCTCCAAGTTTCTGGAAAGAAGAAGGAAAGAGCTATGACTGTAAAATAAGCGTTATTTAAACATCAAAGTGTTAGTGCGAAGCTTTTAATTCATATTTATATCAACTCTCTTCTCAGTTTAAAGTGCGTGTAGCAAGAGCTTTCAACACAGAAATAGAATTCCCAGTAATAATAACCACAGTGCCTCCTAGTGCCCAACCCTCCATCGAACAAGTTCTTAGTCATCAGATCTACAGCGCTCTCGCTAATTACCTGGCGTCACGTGTATCCGCCGAGTTGGCCAGTGATGAAGCTGCAGACGAGGAGACCGAGACAGGAATGGGCCGAGTTGCACTGGATGGATCAGCAGCGTCAAATTTTCCTGGTAGGTTTGCATACAAAAAAGAAACAATGAACACGTTCATTCATAATTTGCCATTATCGTCTTTAAGATGGAAAGCTCTTTATTTTCAGTTGTCTGGCAATTTGCTGTATTGGCAAATCAGTTTATCACTTGTTTGCCCCTTGAGAAATCACGTGATATTGTCTCCATCCCATCAGTCACAGACGGCGGTTATCGTGAATAAGGTCTATTATAAGGCTTCAAAGTTAAGCGTGACTGTAGTTTCACTGAACAGGAACTGTTCACAGATTATACTGAACTTTGGGTATATTTTTTTCGTTTTTACACAGGTTCTCGACAAGCTCCTGCCGTTCCCTTACACAGCAGCACTAGGAATGCTCCAGCGAACGGCAAGCCTTACCAATATTCAAAGATAGAAGTGTGACATATCTATCTTCTTACGATCTCACTTTGCCTCCCTTGAGAATGGAGACAGAAGACACTTCCATGCAAAGGGGGAGGGAGAACATATGAAACATATAAAATACAATATTGTAAAATACAATAACACATGGGCTCCGAACGATGGTTTCCTCCTAAATGCATTGAAAACACTTTCTAGGCTATCCAGAGTACTTTCGGATCTCTAGAAATGTATTCTAAGTTGCGCTAAAAAGTTTTTATCTGTTCGGTCATCCTCGGGCATTTTGAGTCTTTGAAATTACAAGGACTTCGGTATTATTTTCCCGAAAATTTTAGCTGTTATTTTAAGTTTTACGAAAGAGAGAATTTTTCTGATTCTTCTCTACATCGCATTTTCGGTTCCGAAAATTCTAGGTTTCCTTTCTCTACGGAAAATAGCCGAATCGGGGGAGTGAAATGGGAAATATTAAGCTTCAGAAAATCTTATTGGGAATTTGTCAGATATAAGCTTCGAAAATTGTACATGAAGGGAACGTTCATCTGCAAATTTTTAGTCTTCTTAAAGCTATAGAAAATTCTAGGCAATTTTTGCTCCTCCGAACAGGTATATTTTACAGAAAACAGTTGTCGGGTGCCCCTGTTATCAGACCACCAAGAACAGGATCCTCAGTCCCCCTAAATTCAAAATTACTGCAGAACTAATAAGAATTAAGGAAATACGCTCCATGCCGAAGTTATATTTTCAAATGTGTAGAGCGAACTGTAGTGTGTCGAGTTAAATACTTTCAAGGGTGTTCATCCCTCACCACGTTTAAGAAGTAAGCAGGGGTCAACAAAACTTTCGAAGCAGTCCATTAATATTTAAAGCCTAGTCCTTACTGAGATTAGTGTGGTTCTGGATCGGGCCACGGTAAAACCACGGAAGTGGACGTTTTTGAAAATAAATATCATATTGACATTATGTAAAATATCGTTGGCTTTGTGTACTTATTTGTTTGAGGTACTTTCAGGAATTTGTTTCCTCCATACTTTTAAGTGTCTAGAAAAAATTAAAAAAAACTGGGTTTATTAATTTAACTGGCGACCTCGAAAAACTTGGGTCTTCCTCACCGGAAGTGAATGAAGCCTGGTTTTCATCAACCTTGTTCCCAGGGTCGGTGAGGGTCTCTCTTCCACGGGAGAGGATGGTAAAAGAGCAGGGACTGTTCCCTGGCCTGACAAAACCGAAACTTTACGCAAGGACCAAAAGCAAAGTATCTATGATAGGCCCCGTTAAAGGTTTGTGTTGCAAACCGATATATCGGGCAAATATAATTCACCATTTTAATTTTGTTTTCTTTCTTTATTTTTCCTATCACTCTTCCCGTGACCGTAAGGATCAGTTTACTGCTCTAATCTTAAAATTTGGTATAATCCGACAAAAAAAGTCCAACACTGGACTCCCCGTGGACTAATCGTCCTCTGTTCTTCCTTTTCTTTAAAAGACTCCTTACAGTGAAGTGAGAATTGAACACGCCTGATCCCTGAGGAACAGACTGGCTAGCCTAACAAAAACAGTCGTCTGCTCTTTCGTTATTCAAGAGTTGGATAGCGCTATCTATGCCAGATAAATGACAATCCAGCTTATAAATATTAGACAAACCCACTGCGTTTATACTGATCCACTGCATATAGATTTATCCAGTGGATAGCGTTATCCAAGTTTTGTTTGTTTGTTTGTTTGTTAATTTTTTACCTCAGTAACCCGGGCCAGAAGAAACTGAAAAACTCAAGCAAATTGAACCCTATTTTACTAGTAATACTGACTTCTTGTTAGGATTGGGTCTGTTATGTTTGTATTTCTCAATTAAGCGTTGAAAAACACCCTCCCCCAAGCCAAGAAAAGAATAATAAAAAAAGGATTCTTGATCATCTATTTATTTATCTGAGGGTGCCAATGGGGTTAGCAGTTAACTGATATTTGGCAAAAAGAACAGTAGTTAACTCAGTGATAACTGGCCAAAAAATTAGTAGTTAATTGAGAAATGAAAAGTTAACAGTTAAGTGACATTCTATTAATTATACTGAATACAGTGGAACCTCGATATAACGAACCTGTATATAACGACGTACTCGGTAAAACGAACGATTTTCTTTACCCCAGTAATAGTAAAATATATGGTAAAATACTTCGATATAACGAAACCTCGTTATAGCGAACGATTTTTGTCAGTCCCTTGGTTTTGTTATTCAACAAGACTATATTTTGGCAATGATATTGTTTCCCGTCGTCTGTTGCAACGGATTGCAAGGATTGAAAATGGATTGAAATTTAGGCCATGCAACAACAAGATACAGGACATACAGCAACCAGATAAGTACGAAGCTGATTCAGATAATGAAAGTACCGAAGAAGGTAACTTTGAAGTAGTTTATGGCAGGACAGGCCGGGAAGATCGAGATCATGACTGGTGCGTCTATATCCCGAGGCTGGTGTCATATTAATGGTTATATTACTTAGGCCTGTTTCAAACGTTGTGCTACTGCCGTGCTAAGCTGGCTCGACTGTAGTTCGACTGCAGCAAGTCATTAGCACGACTTGGTTTCAGTCGTCGAATTTAATTCGCACAATGACAGTCGAATGGAACGGCTGTTACCAAAAACAAAACACAAAAATAAAGAAACGGTTTAGCAAACTTTTAAATGTATTCTAATGAATTTATAATTCATGAATTGAGTTCGGCACGGCGGTAGCACGACGTTTGAAACCAAGTCGAGCTACGGCCGTGTAGCACGGCAAGCCTTGCCGTGCTACACGACTTGGTTTCAAACGTCGTGCTACTGCCGTGCTAAAGTCGAATTTAATTCGATCAATTGCGTTCGGCACAGCAGTAGCACGACGTTTGAAACGCGCCTTAATCTAATTTGCACTTATACAGCAAAAATCGGTTAATAGGGGCCTTAGCTGTCGTTTACCATTTTTACTACTTTGGTGAGATAATTATGTTCTTTTCTTTTTTTTCTGTTACGTATAAATTGTACTAATGGCGGAGTTTATGTTAATTCATGTAAATTTATATCTTGATTTTAGTGGGGCCTACCCCCAGAAGTGATTGACGTGCTGAAAAAGAAAATTTGGGTTATGACGGAATAATAGTCGCTTTTGGAAGGTGAAAGTTAATAGTTTACCAAGTTTAGTAATTAACTGATATTTGGCCGAAGAATTTGTAGTTAACTGAGAATTGGGTACCGCCATTAGCACCCTCTTATCTCGATCCCCGATCCCCGATCTTCATCTTGATTTTCCAAGACCCACCCTACTGTGGCGGATTCCAAGAATAAGTCGATTATTCACGGAAGCTGGAAGGACTTCCGCTTACTATCTCTTTTGTTACACCCCTTCCCCCCACCCCCCCGAGACGCAGTGGAAAAATTAGAAGAGCCCGGGGGATCGTTTTAAGATCACTTCTACGCATGTCTTTTGTTGTTGGTCTAAAGAACAGTCTGGACTCGCCTATACGCTGAGACGAATTTCCTTTCTCCCGTTTATTCTCAAAACATGACTTGTATTGTGCTTCATAGTTCATTCTAATGGGCAAAGTGGACTACTTCCATGTTGTCTTTCAAGATGGTAAGACAACTTTTTTCCCCGGCGAAGTCCTTAACGGAACGGTGAACTTAAAAGTGAACAGTGAGTTAAAACTGCGAGGGATTCGAATCGAGTTCCATGGAGTCGCCAACGTCTTCCTTTCCGCAGGCGATCAACGAAGGAAGAAACCGGCGAACAGTGAAGTGTATATTGACCTTGTAGCAACGTTATATGGAAAAGGTAAGTACAAGATGTTTTCTAAATATTTTTTTATTATTATTCTTGAATCTTCAAGGCAACTTGCTGACTTCAAAATCAGTCAACCTTTGTCACCTTACTGTATTTAAAAATAAACATTCAATGTTTATTATACTTCATTAGCTTTCATTTATTTTTGGTAAAAAAATCTCAGTCTGTACTTAGGTTTTTGAACAGTACATGTAATTCAACAAGCTAATATACAATGCCAATACCTACATGTAATTATTTAATTTCGTTGCGTCAGGGCCTCTTCACACAGGGCGTAACTAATCGATATTTTCGATACTCGATAGAAATCGAACGTAATCGATCGTAATCGATATTAATTAATCGATTAATATCGGAAATCGATAGAAATCGATCACTCGCGTCTTTGTGATTTTCGATTTTGATCGATTTCTGTAATTAGCTATCGATTTTATCGATTTGTTCGACAATGATCGAAAAGAAAATGGACGAAGATTCTCCGCGCTCCGTAAGCCACCATGCGTGTCTCCCAATAAGCGCTCGAACAATACCCTTCTAAATTCTCGGAGAACGGACGACAGTTTGCCAATTTCTACATTAGTGACTCCGGCTATTTACCACGATTCTGACGATTCTAGAGTACAAATTTACAGCAGTGATCCTGGTAAAAAAAAATAAATAAGAAAAGTAGCTACTATTGGAGAAAGAAGTAACATCATCTTTATCAAAAAAGCGGATTCGAAGGTAAGCTTGAAGGTAAGTGTTACGCAGTGTTATGATACGATCAGATCACGTTTTTGATTTTCGATTTCCATAGATGCGACAAAAAATTTGTGATTATCGATTTCAATCGATTAAATTGACTAATCAATCGACAAATATCGAGTACTATCGAGTATTATCGATTAATCGATTACATTTTCGATGATCGATTTCTATCGATTAGTTACGTCCTGCTTCACATGAGCCCGGTTGGCCGGGCTGGCATACCTGCCAACTCTCACGCCTTAGGCGTGAGTCTCACGCCTACGGGTTGAAAACTTCGATCTCACACCGGCTCACGCTTGCGGGCCAATTTCTCACGCCTGATTGAAAAATGTGAGTTGTTGCCCATGTAAGACCCATGTAAGGAACGACAACCATGTGTAAAATGAATAAATGACAATACCTTCCTCGCGATCTCTGATTTTTGAAGTGAAAAGCACTGGGAGCGAGCTCGCGTTTATACGTGTCCTAAGACTGGGACTCGATAACTTCGCCTTTGGCAGACTTCGGACGTCTTCGGAAGACTTCGGACTTCTTCGGAGGACCTCGGACTTCTTCGGAAATCTTTGGAAATGATCGTGTCGTCTTCCAAAATCCCGGCACTCCCAGGATAAAAATCTCATGCTTATATCTCAGAAAAAGTTGGCAGGCATACTGGCCCAGTGTCCGAGATCTCGTCTTACCTCTAAATCGTTAATCCTTTGTAAATCAAGGGCACCCAACGAGAATATAGTTCAAAACCACTTAAACACAGCATTGTTAAACGTATTTTAGTATTTAAACGGTAGCAATAGGCATATTTTTATCCCCTAAAATTTTTTATCCGTTCGGATTTCCTAGCTGAAAGTCTAGAGACTCGAAAATTATAGGGATCAAAACTTACCTTTTTGAAAATTTCAGCCAGAGAAAAGGCTCCCGAAAATTCTAGGTGAGCTTTTTAGGGTAAAAATCGATTAAAAATGGGCAATTATACCGGCCAATTTTTAGATGTTTGAAAATCCTAGGAGAGGTAGGCAAGCAAGGAATTTTACAAGAAATGTTCCGAAAGTTGTAGATCTCAAATCGTCTTCCGAACAGATATTTTCCGAAAATTCGTTGTGTTCGCATGAGAGGGTGGGCTGGCTCAGGTCTGGTTCAGACGCCGTACTTTTCATGTGTCGAACCTAACTGAATAAATTCCACTTTGGAGCGACACTGGCGCAACATCTGATTCAGACGGCGTACCGTGTGTCGAACCTAAGTTAAGTTCGACAAAAGTTCGACAGACTCTGTCGAACTTAATGCTTTTGCCACACCAAACTAAAACTGCCGTACCAAATTAATTCAGATGCCGCTCTTTTGCCGTACTTAATTCATCAGTTAGGTTCCGCACATGAGTGGAGTAGTGTCTGAACCGGGCCTCAGTTGCCAAGATAGTCGTTTTTCCAAACCGATATCACTGTAAGCCCGGTGACCAGGATGAAAGTGGGATAAATTCTGATGGTCCGGATGGTATCGTCTTGCATTGCCTGCCGTATTTTCCACATTATAAGCATCCCATTTCACTGCAGTGATACAGCTTCAAGAGTTGCCAAAGCTATGATAGGCACGAAAGTTAAAATGTTTGTGTTTTTCCATGTTTGCCTTGTGTTTCGAATTTGGCGCCAGAACTCTTCCCTTCTCTTCACAATCTTTGGCCTTTTCTCATCTCAGAAACCGGGCTGAAATTTTTCATATGAACCGAAGGCGAAATTCAGCCCGATCAATCGGGCTGATGTGAACAGGCCCTTAGTCTGCAGTGAGTGTACATGTATGTATTGTTGGCCATGTAGCAACCACCCAGAACTTTTCATTTCAATGCAAAATGTAATTAATGGTTTTGTTGTTGTACAGCTGTACAAGCAGCTCTAAAATTTTGGAAATATTTTTGCCTTGATGTTCATGATTTTATTCTGCAGTACCTGATCAAGCGGGTGAAAACCCAGTCCTAGCTCCCGGAGAGTACAGTTTTCCCTTCCAGTTTCACACACCAGGTCAAAACTTACCAACATCCGTTGAGGGGAAATATGGTCATGTACGCTACTGGCTTAAAGCATCTATTGACCGTCCGTGGAGGTTTGACATAACAAGCAAGTCTGTTTTTACCATTATTGAGTATGTGGACATAAATAGAGACCCAGAACTTTTGGTGAGAATTTATATTGACTAAATCTTTATAAAGTTATAACCACTACACTTACTTATAGGTTAATGGTACTCTAAACACTGTTGGCTGGACACTTTTTTAAAACTTGAAAGTTAATGTTGTGCTCAGAGGGAGGCTTAATTGATAGTCCATGACTTACCCTCAAATGCTGGGAACATTTCCATTTTCCCGAAGCATCCCAGATTTGTTTAATGGTCAGCAATCATTTCAGACGTTTGAAGTCTCAAATTTGTAGTAGTGTTGGGTAATGTTCAGTTGGGTGTTGATGGGTGATCACTTTTGCTTGGATCCAATCCTCTAACTGATATTATTAGCTCTTGTCTTTCCCGTCATAAATCAAAATGGTGCCTCGGGCAGACAGGGAATTTTTCCTGACATATCTGGAAATTCCGGGACAGCTAGGTGGAAAAAGGTGAAATGTCTGATAGTCTTAGATTTTCCTGACAAATAAGAATCTGACCTAATTTTGCTTGTATGGACTGAAACCTCGTTAAAATTTGCCAACTTAAAGTGAAAAAAAATTCATTTTAGCAGCCAGGGTACATCATGATATCAGGACCCTGTTCCATACATTGGGCTATTTAATAACTTGGGTTAAGAGTGTCAGTCTTTATACTTGGCATTTTATGAAACTAAAAAGAATTTTTTACTTAGAATTTACTGTAATTTCAACCACTGAGATCAGTTTTTGTCATTTAGCGGCCATGCCAAGTTGAGAAAGAGGAGCAGTATGGATTTGCTTGCTTTTCTGGCCCACTTAGTGTCACTGTCCAGACAGATAGAAAAGGCTTCTGCCCTGGGGAATCAATTGCTGTGTCTGCATTTATCAATAACCAGTCAAGTTGCAAGGTTAATGGTGTTGAGATCGCACTTGTTCAGATCTCTGTCTACACAATCAAAGCCGGTATGGTAATTGTTTATTAATGATATTTTTTATTCCCCCCAACTGTCAAAGTTGGATCACATTATTGGAATTATTTCTTAAATCTTCAAATGTAAATGTAATTAATTTATTCCCTTGAATAATTATATTTATTAAAATCCAACTAGTGGTCTATTATCATTGCTGCATTCTGATTGGTTGAGCTACTACTAGGCTATATGTTATAGCCTACTAGTAGCAAAAAGCCCTCATGGCCTCTGAGTCAATAGCCCATTCGGCCTCCGGCCTCATGGGCTATTGACTCAGAGCCCATTCGGGCTCGAGGAATAATTGTTAAATAGCTCCCTTTAGAAGGCTGTGCTTTGAGAAAATGTGAAGGAAGCCCATGCAGTGCTCCAAACCTGTGCAATCTAAGGTGCCCTACATGTGATTTCTATGAAAACTGATAGTCACCTGGGAGAAAAAGTTAGGTGCCAGGAACACCGGGTGCTGCTAGATTATGAGCTTGGTCATTTCACAAGCCAAATGTGAGCCCAAGTCAACCAGGAGCCACAAACCAAGCATGAGCCAAACCTCGAGTCAAGCCTAACTGTAATACAGTATGTGTTAAATAGCAATTGCTTTTCACCATTCCTTGGTTAGCTAATGTACAAATTTTATCCATGTTTACCTTGTACATAGATGTAGCCCTTCAGACAAAATAAATCAACCATCACCTTATACCCTGATGTTTTAATTTGTAGGCAAGCATAATAAGCGCTTCTCAGAAGATGTATCCACAGTAAAAAGAGATGAAATAAGAGGCAGTGGGGATCATCACATGGAGATGGTGCCATTTCCAATCCCCTCCCTACCCCCCACAATGATAAATTGTAGCTGTATAAAGATAACATATGAACTGAAGGTGACTGATACATCTTAATTATTTTGTCCGACTTAACAATAGTGGTATGCTTTATCAGCACCTGTTTCCCCTTACTACTTACCCATCTCTCTGGGTGACGGGGAAACTATGCGCCAAGAGTGACCTAATCAAGAAAAACGTTTATGAGATTTAACAAAAAATTTACCTAAGGAAAAATGTATTTGTCCCATTTGTTCAAAAGGTGGATGTAACGGTATCGACTGGATAAATCTCTCTCCAGTGAATATCGCAATATTATTGGTTTCCCTGATGTTTATCTGCTGGATAGTGATTTATCCAATGGATAGCACTATCCAATGTTTGAACAACCCAAGGCTGACCCTTCTAAAGACGAACACTCTCAACCAATACTTTGTGGGAATGTATGAAGATCAGTCTTACTGTGAAGAATTTACTTTGTGGGTGGATATTGCCCAAGGGTTTAAAGTGTTAATTGTTGGAGCACCCTATTTTTCACCTAACAGACTTTTGCAGGCGACCAGTGGAGCCCGCAGTCCTGACCCCAAGGTTTGGGGTGGTGGTTTTTTACCTGTGAGGGGGGACCAGCCAGTTTGGGAAAGCTCAGAAGATTTTTAAATCAACTCCCACTTCACCCTTGCTTTTTAGAAATAACCCACCATAAGTTATACATATTCTGAAAGTGACCCCCTACCTGATTGCTCTGGAAACTATGAATGTTGCCAGTAGCTACAAATTGTGCTGAAGTTCACCACCTACATGTACTTTATCCACAATTGTGGTTATAAGATTGGTGTTAACAATCGGATGGTAGACTTTAGGGGCACCCAAAGATGGTTTCCTCCCAAATGCATTGAAAACACTTTTTAGGCTATCCAGAGTATTTTTGGAACTCTAGAAATGCTTGTAAATGGCGCTATAAAATTTGTATCTGTTCGGTCATCCTAGGGGAACTTGAGTCTTTTTGAAATTACAGGGGCTTCAGTATTATTTTCTTGAAAATTTTAGATTCAATTTAGGGCATTACAAGAGTGAAAAATTTTTTGATTCCTCTCTCCATCACTTTTTTGAATTCGAAAATTTTAGGTTTCCTTTTCCCATGAAAAATAGCCCAACCTGGATTGTGAAAAGTGTAATATTAAACTTCAGAAAATCGCAGGGAATTAATAAGCGTAGCTTTGAAAATTGTACATGAATGAAACGGTCATCTAGAGAACTTTTTAGCACTCTTCAAGTGATAGAAAATTCAAGGCAATATTTGCTTCTCTGAACAAATATTTTACAGAAAACAGTCATAGGGTGCTCCTAAGACTTGCTACAAGTAGACTGTGAGAGCACCGAAGGCGTGAGGGACTCCCCCCGCGCGCACAAGCGAGTGATGAAGTGGCGAGAGAGATGAGCGGTGCAAATGGGCTTTGAGAAAGTCTCTACTGCTTGCTGTTACATTCAATTTTCATTCATGCTTGTTATTGCTTTGTACTAATTTCATGAAATTTATTAAAGGGACCCCCAAGGTAATGCACTCTTGCCTGAAAATGACCCCCCAGCAAAATGGTGCTTCCCCCCACCACCCCTCAGGTAGTAACTGACCAGCCTCTTACTATCTCAGGCATGCAGGTTTGTAGCTAGAATTCGTTTGGACTCTGGGACCTCACATCTGTTTGAGTGAACATCCAGGTTGATAGCCTTGATGTAGGCAAGAGCTATCTCCACTTGTTAACTATATGTTTATGAAACAAAAGTTAAATAAGTGATGTCTGAATGCAGGCTATCTGACTGCTTACTTTCTTAATTCCCTTGACCATCTCTAGCCAAGCCAATCTTACCATGTAGTCCACAGATAACATGTTTAAATTGTCTTTTGAAACAGTTCACTGTGCACATGAGTGGATTCTCAGCCAAGGACCTAATCCTTACAATCCCAATAACAATTGGCTCTGTACCATATCAACCTCCACACCAACCATCAGCAGTTCAGCCGTCAGCTCCTCCACTAACCCCACCCCCTGGATATAGTGAAGACTTTCAGCCATACCCTGGAGCAGGTAATTGGTACAAAGTGTTGTCTGCGTGACTAGTTAGTTAAACATTTTGTTCAACTACAGTTGGGGGCGGGGGGGGGGGGGGGTTTTCTGGGGGGGGGGGGGGGGGGGGGGGGGGGATTCTCCATATGAAAGGGTGCTCGTCGTCTCGCTTAGGGGTATAAATCTCACTTAGGGTGTTCTGGGCAAAATGCCATCATATTTAGCCTTGAAGGTCTCGTTTAGGGTTGCACGCGAAAAAATATAAAAACATATATATTGTCTGTGTTTTAACATGATCTCTTTTAGGGGTCAAAAAAAGCTTGAGCCCCACCCAGATCGGTCTCCTTTAGGGGTTTAATTCAAAAATTCCAACAAGCATCCCCACCCTTTCATATGCGGAGGCCCCCCCACCGGAGTTGACCTCCATATGAAAATTTGTATAAGTAACCACAAACTCATGATTGAAACTGGAAGATATAATTAAACTTTCCACAACGATAGATTCTGTCCTATTTGTAACTTTGGTATAATTGAAGACGAATTTCATTTTCTCTTCCATTGTCCAAAATACTCTATCCCAAGGGAGAAATTCTACAGTCAAATCCAACAAAATTTTGTCGACTTTAATCAGCTATATATTACACAGAGTTAATAATTAAATTGATTAATTCACAGAATTTTTCTGTAAATTCACATTTGTTGAACTTTTGTCTCATTATGTAATGATTTACGTACTAATTTGTTATCAAATCATGCTCATGACATTTGATTGACTGTAGTAATCATTGCATTGCATTATCATTGTTATAAATTTTAACTTCATGTTTAAGCTTTTGCAATACTGTAACTAAATAATTATGGTCATGCAAAAAAAGCTTATGTTGTTGTTGTTGTTGTTGATATGTGTGACCACCTCTCATATGCAGCGACCACCTCCCAAACACTAAAATTTTCCCAGTCAAGGCTTTATAGTTGGAAACCCTCATAAGTGACCACAACCACTTTTAGGGATGATGGTTTTAGAATTTTTTTGTGGTTTTTAATCTCTTATAAGTGACCACCTGATATAATGGTCTAATCTTTGTGTTTCCTGTATTGACTACACTACTCAGGAGTATGAGAAGAAGAATGTGTATTTACCTATATTGCAATCTAAAAATTGCATGCAATACATTCTCTTAAAAAAAGTAGATGTGTCTGGACTTCTACTCGTAAAAGTCCTCCTGCAGTTCTATTCTAAGCAACCACCTCCCGTAAGCGATCACAAACTCTTTGCATTTTGAGTTGTCGCTTATGGAAGGTTCGAGTGTATAAGCTATTGTTTTTGTTTTAGTAGTTGAAGAGCTGCTGCAGCAAACCCATTTTTCAGATACTTAGCTTAATAATCTTTGGCACAATAATGCATTCTGTCTCTTCTAACTGGCATTGGAAACAAAGTCGTTTTGCAGAAGAACCTTTTCATGGTCTCCTTGTAAGTGCTTTTCAACTTGCTCCTTGCACTAGCTTCAGAATGTCTGATGTGTTCACAGTCATTATATCTGAAGTGTGTATCAGTTTTTGGGTCAGCTAATCAGTCCAGGTTTTATATGTTTCATTAAGCTGCAATTAGTAAAGTTGTTCACCATACTAACACCCATCCACTAACTACCGGTAGCTTTTACACCCTCCTCTACACAAACAAATTGAAATCATGTATTATTTCTGCCTTTCAGTTCTCCCATCATACGCTGAATGTGTGTATGGTGGGGCGGCCATTGGTGATGAGAATGACGCAGGTGAAATGTCAAGTGGCTCCACCTTTACTCCAATGTATCCATTTGTTAGTCACTACCAGTTCCCTTCATCTGCAAGTCAAGACACTGCAGCTGCTCTGGAACCCCAACCTTCAAACTCAAGTAAACCGCCTCTGCCTTCATAGGCCAGTTGCATGGAGCCTCTGTTTCGAAGCGAGGCAAAGTGCATTGATATGAAAATGAATGTTATTCCTAAGCAAATAAAACTCATTTTCACGAGGAAGGTAATGCACTTAGCCCCCTTTTGAAAGGGAGACTTTTTGGAATTCGGAAATGGCCTGTTGCACTGAAATTGTTACCTATACTTGTGTCACCGAGTATTTTTCGGGTTAAGCTGATCTGCTATTCAGCTGTTTGTTCCCTGGGTGTCGTTTAAATTCTTCAACAAGAGCCTCCTCAGAAGGAGAGCTCCTGTCCTTCACAGTTGATATATTAATTGTAGTGAATTATTCATCAAATTTATTGCGCAGGAATATTTATTTTTGAATTTTTGAAAAAGTCAGCTTACATGTGTGACTAATATAAGGATCAGAATTACGATGTTTCATGGCCTTAGCAAACATTAGTGAATTAATTTATGGTAGTCTATTTATCATTAGATTCAGATTCAGATTTAGATATAGATTAAGAGCAATTTTATCACATTGGCGTGGTAAAGTGAACATAACAAAGCTATGATAGACGAAATTTTATTGTGGTGTATAATGATTTGCTTATTGTCAATTTTGCGAACATTGACATTAACAGCTGCCATTAACCTTTGCTGTACATAAGCTTTTTTAACGATGGGTATGTAGGATGAAAGGCAAGCGATTATTCGGTGGAGCATGGCGTGTGCACTGCTGTTCTTTTGGAGTGATGATGATCTTAAAAACTTTATTTCAACTTTTCCATTAGTGAAGCAAGTTCTTTTATAGAACAAACAACACATGCTTTACCTAAACTACGTAAAGCGGGTTGAATTTAGGGGAAATGTAAGGGCTTTCTTTCCCCAGGGACAAGGCAAACTGTCCATAATAATGAGGTGTTTTTTAAGGATCACCGAGCTCGTAAAAGTCACCCGCTGTATCTCAAGGCCCTATTACGTAGACTCCTACAATGACTTGTTTGTTTTCCTTTGCTTTCTGTGACTCAAAATTAAACAGCGAAGATCATCCACTCCCACGCACAGCGGTCACTGTTGCTGAATTATTAGAATATATATATAAATAAAAAAACATTTTAAAGGCTGAGGGACAAGGGTTTCGTGGGACGAAATTTCTAAAGCCAATTGATATGTGAGGATCATAGTAGAAATTATTTAATTTTGGAAACATGTTTCAGATGTTGCTGAAAAAAAATAGCCGACATTTGGCGACGTCGTCATTTGGCGTAGAAACCAGTGGTAGAGTCGCCAAATGTCGGCTGTTTTCTCAGGCTATTGCTGAGATTAAAAAGACAGTATTGCCAACGTACGTTACACCTCAGTAATAATATTAATTAATCAATCGCTAGAATCCCAAGAACACAGACAAGCGCGCATGACATCACTCATTAGAAGAGCGTTCTTTTTCGGGATCCGATGGATTTCGGTCGTCGCTACTCTCCGCCCAAAAGGTAACTTTTCCGGTGGAGAGAAGCTGAGGAACAGGATATTTTTTAATTCAATCAAGTATGTGGTTCAGTTCAGCCTGCCCTTATTCGTGTGGGTGGGGTTTGCAGAGTCATTCTGTTCATGGAATGAAGCGTTGTTCATGTAGCTACATGTAATTAATAGGGAAAAATGAAGTAAGAAACAAAACTAACTGTTTCCCGAGGGACCCGTCTTTTTGTGTTTTTTGTTTATATATGTAGCTGGAAATTTTGAAGCGGGAAATTTATTAAACCATAAATGGCGGTCTTTGATCAACATTCGCGGGTAACAGTGCACTGTTACCCTCTGTCGTCATAGATTTTGCAGTGTTGCCCGGTCAGAGATTTTGGCGGGAAACAGTTTCATTGTTACATGTCGTGTGACCTCGAAGTAACCAATGCGAGCAAGCGCCGTTGGGAAGTAATTTCCAGCTATATGACATTAGTCGTTAAATAAAGGATTTGAAACTTTTACTTCCATAAAAGAGGTGTCAAAACTAGAAAGTCAAAACTATTCCAAAATTTGGTTTTGAAGGCTACCGTATCATTAGCTGACGACGTTGGTGAATGAATGGCTCGAGATACCTCAAGTTGTCAGGCGAGCAGCGGCTACTTTTTGGCGATAAATACTGGCGTGCGAATAGTAAAGGCTACTTAACAGTACGTATCTTGAAAACGAAGCCTCTGCTACATGGAGATACCTAAGAGTTCATTTTTTGGTAAGCTTGTGGTTGTTTGACTTCCTCTTGATCAATGGTGTTATGAAACATGGTCTTTTGTTAGGTTACTGAAATGTAAAAAAAAAATGGAATAATACGAACACAGAAATATAAAGTATGTAGATAAATGAATAGAGATTGCCTCATTAAAATGAAGAATACGAAACTGTGGTTGCTGTTGTTGTTGTAATGTTTATCTTAGACTTCCTAAAAGTCCGTTATTTTTTTAGTTCGTTATGCCATTTTAAAGGACTTTTCATACCTGTTTGGCGCGAATTCACCGGTCGAAAATTCTACCGATGAAGTCATGACAATTGACCAATAGGACAGTGAGTGATATTTCACATCGCTCCCGACACATCATATGTCAATCATTTTTTTTCATTTTTCCCGCGTAAATTTAAGTGTGATTCAATTCCATTCAGGCGAAACAAGTCGACCTCGAGACCTCGTCAATGTCACGTGGTTTCTTAGGGGGCAAACAAATGAAAAAGCTGCCAATGCAAGAAATCGTGGTCAAGTTTGTTTACTCTAGACAAAAGAAAACACAGAATTTTTCATAATAAAGACGATAATGGCAAATTATGGGTAGAAGTAATCATTGTTACTTCTTTGGATGCTGTAGTGACCGTAGATAGATGTCCTCCGCATTACAAGCCTAATGTTTTTTGAATCGAAATGAATTGTAACTAGTAATTTCACGGGAGAGTTTTTTTAAGCGAAATCATTATTCATTCAAAATATTTCCCCGATTCTGATTGGCTAAAAGCACACGCATAATTCACCATAAGCAGCTACTGATGATCAAATTTGGAAGAATTTTGCGATTACTGAACCGATGACGTCAAAAGTGCAGCTTCCTTGTAGGTTAATGCACCGATAACCGAGAAGACCCGGAAACGAGGTTGAGTTGTTTTGGTTGTGAAAACAAAAATGGCGGATATTTCTTACTATAGTAAGAACTATGCGAAATAATAGCTAAAAACATGGCAAGAACAGCAAGAAGACAACTCGAGGGGCAACATCTGATATTTGGAGAACGTAGTTATTTCGAGCTTGGGCTCAGCCTGTGAATTGACAGGTCAAGCACAACAGTTAAAATCAATTCATACAGAAATTAATATTTGCTTTAACGTTCGGACTAAATTTCCACTTAATAATCGTCAATCGTCAAAAGCTCTAAATTTAGCGGCCAACCGTCAAAGCTACCTCCCCATCGAGACCCTCCGCTCATGATTCTGGTACAAATCAGAGACTGCTACTGTGAGAGCAGTAAAGAGCACGAAAAGAACACCAACAAAGACGGTGACAGAAGAGACAATAATGAAAATAAAAAAATATAAAAAATAATAATAATGATAAGTACCGAGGAAATTAGGAGCTCGAAGTGTCGTGGGAATGGCTTAAGAGAGGGAAGCTAAAAATGGAAAGTGAAGGATTTCTCATGGCTGCACAAGACTAGGTTTTGTGAACAAACAGTGTAAAGAAGTTTATTGACAATCAAAATATTTCCCCGACGTGCAGAATGTGTGGAGAAAGAGTAGAGACAGTACAAGTCATCAGGGGCACTCAACGTCAATTTTCGGAAAATATCTGTTCGGAAGACCATTTGAGATCTTGAATTTTCCGAACATTTGTTGTAAAATTTCTTGCTTGCCTGCCTCTCCTGGGATTTTCGAACATCTATAAAATGGTATAATTATAATAAATATACCATTATAATTAAATATAATTATAATGGTATATAAGGAAGAGAAATCGTGCATAATAATTGATGTTGCCTGTCCATTCGACACCATCCCCTTCTTTACTGTACCAAGCGCACCGACAACCTCAGGGATCACTACGGTTTTCACTGATATGCCACATTCTCGGTATTTCTAGTTCAAGGTCTTTGTACTCGTGCTTTTCTTTTCGATTTCCTTCAGTGCGATGTTTCTATCTGATGGAACAGTCATATCAATCAGTTTGCAGGTGGAATTTACTGAATCTTTAACGATGATGTTTGGTCTGGTCGCTGTGCTGTTATAGTTCTATCAGTATTGACTACCTCAGTTCAGAAATTTTCCAGTCAATGATACAAAAACTACATTGCACAACTGGGATATTATTATTATTATATTGATTTTTTTTTAATAATTCCATCTCCAGCAGCCAATTGTAAATTGCCTATACATAGCGAGATTTACAATTGTGCATCCAAAAACACAAATAAAGTTCTCATTACTATTCCATTCCTCGTGGAGTAATTACAGGGCTAAGTTAAGGGTTTGACTGGGTCCGATGCCTTCCAAAGATTTATCACTGACCGATGTCGGTCATATCCAAAAACACCAAGAAACCAAAGGGCCACGAAGGACAAAAATTTTGCGCCGACCATTCATAAATGGTTGACCTATTAAAAGAAAGCATGAACTATAATCATCCAATACAAGAATGCAACCTAAACACTGATTTCTGGCTTTTTGGACTTAAAGCTTTGCCCACAAGCCACGAATAATATGTACTTGTTTAGGTACCAGAAGACATTATTAATTTCATACACTTTTTGTTTAGTTGGCTTGAGCACAGACAGCCTAAATTATAAACGTCGTTTGAGTCAGGAGAAGTTCATTCTCTCTTGTTTAATTTGCGCATTACAGGAAAGTGTATCGGAATACAGAAAACGTCCTAAGTTCTGCCTTTTAAAAAGATTCGAAATAGAATTGACTTACATANATTATTATTATTATATTGATTTTTTTTTAATAATTCCATCTCCAGCAGCCAATTGTAAATTGCCTATACATAGCGAG